CCCCAAAACCCCAAAACCCCAAAACCCCGTCTTGGCCCTTTAATTGCTAAAATTTAGTTAAATTAGAATTCTATCTCTTCTTCTTCGAATTCTTCAAGAGATTGGATGACTCTCATCTTCCCATTTTTGTGGGCAAATTTGACGAACCCAAAGATGTTGATCTTTCCTTTCTTTGTTTCTCTTCCTCGCATTATGTCGATATGCTCTATAACTCCACATCCCTTTTTCTCAAAGTATTTCTTCAATAGAGGTTTGGTATTTTTCGGATTGATTCCACATAAGAAGAGCGTTCTTTCATTGTGATTATCTAGCTTCAATCCCAGATCAACATATAATTTATCTCCAATATCTTCTTCGATTAGCTTTATAGTGTACATGTTGATGTCATTGCTGGCTAACAGAAGGGTCTTGAGTTGGCAGTCACCACTGTTGTGATAAGCCTCCATGAATTCGTTGAATCCTTTCTCATTAATGCAGTTGTTTTTGACAGCAAGCACCTTTAAACTTCCATTAATGCAAGTAGTGAGAGATTGAAATCCTTTATTTCTGATAAGATTTGAGCCAAGATCAAGGAACTCTAGAGTCTTGTTCTCTTCCAAAGCTTTAGAAATAAATCTAGTTCCTTCAATTTGAACCTTGTTGTTGTAAAGATTAAGTTTCTTTAACATTAAATTTTCTTTGATCAATTTCGATAGAGCAGATGCCTCACCAACTCCTAGCTTACAGCTACTAAGATCTAGTTCAGATATTTGAAGGCTAGCTATTGCTTTAGCTCCTTTAGTCCCTATCATGTTCTTACTGAGATTAAGAGCCCTTAAAGAGGAATTACCTCCAGCTTGGTTAAGACAGAACTTAATCATTCTGGCATCTTTCTCATCAAGTTGACATTGGTTCATATTTAAAGACTCAACAATCGTAAAGACATATTTCAAGCCAGGGAATTCTCCCTTTCTGAGTTGATTTTGCTCAAACATTGAAGTGAATGCTCCAAGAGAAATATCTAAGTATTTTATCAGTCCATCAGGTTGAGCTTGCCATGGGTCGTTGACAAGCTCGAACCCATGAAGACGCTCCTCTTGAAGAATTGGTGATAAAACAGAAAGAGAATCAAAGAATTCTTCATAGTCTTGATATGTACCGAAGCACCCTCTGAGGATGATATAATCAAGTGGAGCTCCACTGTTCTTTGATTCAACTATAGCTTTACCCATCTCTTTTAATTGATCTGTTGTCATCTTGCACGTGTTTGTATCGAAAGAAAACCCTCTTAAGTTCTGAAGTTTGCCTAGGAATATTAAGATTCATGTAGAAGAAGCAGAGATCATGTTCTGAATATTCGTGAATGCAAAGTTTAAGTATTCAAGACGAGGAGTCTTCTCCAAGAAGGCCCCAAAGTATTTGGCTGGCTCTTCAATGTGCTCCAAACAGTTATGGCTTATATCAAAGACTCTGAGATGTTCTTTTCCTGCTAGTCTTCTCATCAAAGCTCCTGCTCCATGGTGGAGATGATTATGACTGAGGTTCAAGATTTCTAGATTATGAAACTCTAATTCCATTCTCTTTGCCAAGGCCTTTGCAACATATTTGTCAATACTACAGTTGACTAAAGATAGTTCCTTGAGGTTCTCATGTTTAATAACTTCAAAGATTTTATCAATGTTAGAAACAGAGAGGCTAATGTTGGACATCCGAAGAGTATCAATGTTGGGAACAAATTCCAATAATGAGATCAGTTTAATCTCTTCTACTCTATCATCAGCCATTGGCTCTCCATAAGTATCTAAGTAATTAACATAATGAACCTCAAGTTCCTTCAAGGCTACTGACTTAGCAGATTTGAACCCTAATCTTATACATGTGACTAATCCTTGAGAAATCGGAAATGCTTGGGTATCTCCAATAATTACTAATCTCTCAAGACTTCTGGCACAAGCTGATATGATCTTTGTGTAAATGGCATAAGAGAAATCATCAGAATCTCTTGATGGCTGCTTGAGCACAAGTCCTTTGATGGTTGGGCAAACAAACTTCAAGTACCTCTCCAATGCTTTGTTGTTTTGATGATACTCATTGAAGTAGATAAATGTCTCAAAGTCTAATTTCATAAAAAGATCTTTCCACGTGTAACTCTCATATGGTCTATTCGAGGATGAATTTTTTAGACCATTAAAGAATCCTTTGGAATGCAAATTCTGGAATTCTCCTTTAAGATCTAAATGGTACTTGTTTGATGAATTTCTGAGATCACTCTCGTTTGCTAAAAACTCAGGTGTGACTTGTTCTTCATCCTTCAGAAGATAGCTTTTGACCCAAGGAAATCTACTCTTGATGTATCCTTGGAAGGATACTTCATCATCCATGAATTTTTCTTCCTCCTTGGCTTTCTTTCAGAAAGAGAGAAGAGTAACTTTGTCTTTCATGACTTCCCAAACTTGTCTCTTGGCTTCTGGAAGTGGGAAATAGATTTCTACTCCTCCATGATATCCCTTCTGTCGCGAAGTGGCAACTGAGTTGTAAAACATTCTTTTAATCTCGTTGTTTGTCTTAGTTTTAAGCCCAACTTTTCTGAAGAAATCATTAAAATTTGAGACCGATTTAATATACTCAACTTCTTTTTGGATCTCATCTTCAAGCTTATAGTATAATCTAGAGTATCTCTTGTCATACTCTTCTATAATTGGGCTCAAATCTCTCTTTCCTTGGTTCTTGTCAATGATGTAGCTGTTGTAAAAGGAGAAAAACATCATTAACTCCCAGCTATTCTTGGTGTTTTCATATACATTTTGGGCAAATTCTTGACTGAAAGTTTCATCATTTAATGTTTCAAATTCTGGGATTTCTCTGATGATATGGAAGACACACCTAGTAAACTTCTCCTCAAAGTAGGCTTTGATAAGGTCTTTAGATGTGAATTTCTTTGATACACATATCATGGCCAGAATCATCCCAATATCAGGAGTGTTTTCCTTCCCCCTGAATTTTTCACTATGAATGAAGTTCTCAATAGTTTGTTCAAGCTTAAATTGCATCTCTGGATGATGCTCCAGAACAAAAACGAAGGCTCTATGATAGTAGTTCAGCATTCTTAACCCTTTAATCGATCAATAGGACGTCCCAGTTAAGGACTGAACACAATGACTCAGCAATAGTTTAGGCATGATCTGAAGGATCATTTCCTCCTCAAACTTGTCCTTTGATCCTGCAGAGATATCTGAGAGGGACTTCCTGAACAAGTCAATAGTTTTCTCAACATTGGAAGTCTCTTTGAAGTACAATGGCAACCAATGAGAGAATTTCTTCTTGTTGACTCCTTTTCTGAGACCTTCTTTATATGCCTTCTGAGAGACCATGTCAATGGTTGTATAGATTCTTGAGACCTCTGTTGTCCTCATAGTTCTAGAGAAGCCTACTCCAGTTCCTTGGATAGTCTCCTTGACGTTCATTCTAGTGTGGAAACAATAAGTATCTTCGATAAGTTTTTCCTCTTCCGTCTTTTTAGCATATTCAACTGGGCCATCTTCCAAAGCTGACTCAAAAGGAGGGTAAATGTTATCTTCTCCGTTATGGTCGCTAAATGGACACTTAAAGGTCTTTGTCTCTTCTGCTTGAGCTTTAATAGCTTTCGTTTTAGATTTTTTATAGTCATAGAATCCAAATTGAATCTGCAGAAGCACAGAGAAAAGGGAATACCCAGAGCACCATTCACTTTGAACCATTTCTGATAAATACTTTGTGCCAGAGAAGTACGGATTTGTAATTGGAGTCAATGCCTCTACTTTTGGAGGGCTGTTTGGGTAATCCTGAGGAATTGTGATAGAAAAATGGAAGATACCTCCTTCATAAGGAGTGTCAAGAATTCCTCTGATGTTTGCAACCCACTTGTAGATGTTGTCCTTTAGTGGCATTGCAGAGATTCCCATCTCTGGATTAACGTTGTATTGAAATTCTTCTAAGTCCTTGAGAATTCGTTTTTCGGTGTAGTTTAAGTTTCCTCCGCTCTTTGATGAGATAAGCTCTTGTCTTAGCTTATACACAAGAGAGTTCTCATTTCAATGAGGGTTTTGGGATTCCATAAGGAAAATTATTTGTTGAGACTAATTATTAAAACCTATTTTTCCACTCAATTCATCCATTCAAAGTGGGGTTTTGGGGTTTTGGGGTTTTGGGGT